ATAACCAGCAGGATAGCCAAACCAGCGACATCAGTCGACTCGTCCATTTGCAAAGCGAATCGTGTATTTTGTAGACGTGTAACTAGTTCTTGTTTGACGTAGCTTGCCAGATCATGGATTCGTCGTGAAACAGTATCGTTTGATAGCGGAACAGTAGAAAGATGCTTTGCAGATTTTTCATCAAGCATACATTTTGTTATGTCTAATACACATGGTTTTATTAATTTCTCAGCGATAGTGTGCGCTTCACCTGCTTGTGCAATGCGATAGCTAACTAAGTATGATGCCTCCGTGGCCTTTTCGTTGGTAGTTTGTGTTACATGCATCATATTTTTTTGACTTTCTAATAACTGATCTTTTTTGCGAACAAAAAATTCTTTATTCTTGTCTTTAGTCTCGGGGTGTACGGTTTCTAAATGTCGACGCAATTTGGCAGGTGCCATGGAACTATTAGGAAGCAGTTTACTACAGAGCATGCAGAGAGGTGAGCCGTTGGAATCAACAAATCCGAAACTGATATAAGATTCATCATACTTCCTTTTTTTCGTCTTTGAAACCGTCGAGCTTGACGTCGTGGCACTCGTGGCATCATCTTCTGGATCGGTGATTGCTAAATTCTCCGCGCGCATTGCTTTTGAACATTCAGCGTCATTAGAAGATGTTGTTGGAACACGTTTAACACCTTTAAGCCAACGTTCCATTCTTCTTTATTTATAATGTTACAAGTCAGGATAGTGGGGTTTAAATAATGCACAATCGTTACTGCGTATAAGAGACTAAATTTAGAACCTACAGGGAAGAAATGTATAAAACTGAGACAACAGAATACAGCAGGCAGTAAAACAATGAACACCAGTTTCTCGCTAGCGAGCTTGTAAGTAGGTAGTAACTTATCGCTCCGAACGCTAATCATCAACTGACGACGCCAACGCGCGATCGCCGCTTTTATACTTAGTCCTAGACTCGATCTCAAATATTCTCGAAAATACTCGAGTCGGCACCTTTGATAAACAAAAAGCAAAAATAAAAACAGAAATTTAAAAATAGCGTTGTAAACAATATCGACTTTATCCTTTGAAGTTAGAGACGAAAGTCGCTAGTTGACAACTATAGCGTCTAATTCAGAGGCGGCTTTTATCAAAGAGACTGAGCGCTTACAAGTATACTACCCGCTCGTTTTAAGTTTGCCGCTGGCGATAGGTATGAGTGTATGACGTTCGAAATTTTTTATTTAATTGTAACAATAAAAATTGTGTACGTTAGATATTTGGGTAAAACTATGACACATTATAAGTTTTGTTGTCACGTGGGGGAGGGTACGCGCATTCCACAGACCGGCAAACTTAGAGCGAACGCGTTGTACAAGTATAAAATTGTTGAGACCAAACTTATGAGATATTGTACCAGCTAATGTAACACAAGCTTATACAAATACAAATAAATAAATAAATAACATTCATAGCGTTTTGTCTCCGCGCGGCCGCGGAGTCCGCACAGCCGCGGAGCGACCAGAGAGAGGTGTTTTGATTTTTTTATTTCTAAATTCTTGCGGAACCCCGACAGAGGTATCACGGAACCCTAGGGTTCCGCGGAACACACTTAGAGTATAGCTGCACTACATACATAAAAAACCGGCTTCACTTTTTGGTTCGGCAGACTCCGTCTTTACTATTTATTTGGTCTGAGATAAGACGGTATATACCACAGTCTTGTCACTTGTCACTCGGCAAGAGAGTTAATATAGCGGAGATTGTTAAGAACCTTGTGGTGGTCTAAACAATTCATTTATTAAGACATACAGAGACCTTACCATAGGGTCAATGCTACAATGTTGGCCTCAACTATCGCAAAAATGTGTGAAGTTAACTCAAGTCGTTACCTACATATCTAATGCATGCATTTTTATAGTTAACTAGTACTTATTCAAAAATCATCTTTTGCATATGTTCTTTTTAGTAGTAAATATAAAATTCATTTACTTTTATTCATCGACTATCTAAAATTGGCAGTGGCTGCATTGTCAACATCCTGCTTTAATATTGTGTTATACACAAATGCAGTGTCATATCCTAGTCTCATAATTTGTTTTACCTACTTACATACTTCACAGAAACCAAATATGTAGATGCCAAAGGTTAACTTCAAATGTTATTATTGTTAATCATCCTATATACAATACCAATCAATGACGTTCATGTCGCAGGTTGACTAAAGCTATAATTCCCGTTTGTTATTTTAAACACTAAATTAAATCGCTAAATTAAATAATTATACAATCACCAAAGCAAAGTTTATAATATTTGATTAAACTAAAGGCGTAGATTAAAATTTCCATAGCGTTAAGTACAGCACGATAGCAATCTCATTTATTATTAATTTATCACCCAATGTGTAGTTTTACATGTTTGTCGTTCTCATTTAAAGCGTTCACCAGTTACAGGTCGCACACTTTCTGGTCTACCCTTTTTATTGGTAAAGCTCGAATAAAGAGTATTTCCACCTATTAATCGGGCTGCTACCTATTGAAAATAGTGCAATCATAGCAATTATTTTCCAAATTTATTTTTCTACCTATAAACAAAATAAGAATAAGTATGTATAAATTACCGAATAACGAATCACTGTTATCTTTATGTTATAATTAGCTTTATTATTCTTAAGTTTCATTAAAATCCATTTAGTATTATTTGAGTGAAAGAGTAACAAAGATCCATACAAACGTTAGATTGAAATTAAAAGCGCGTCGTTGATATGCAACTTTAAATCGTGTAGATCCTAAACAGTCAGATAAAATAAAAAATGGTGTAAGGAACCTAAATATGATTTTCGATTATCTACTATCTAGATAATGATACCCCACTCAACATATTTCATTAACTTATTTTTTTATTTTGTAACAATATGGCGCCTTATTGTTCCCATATTGAATTTTGATTAATATCATATCTTTAGTAGCACTCCCATCATTAAGCCGAATCGATTGGTGTATGAATCATCAAAATCGGTCCACGCGTTTGGTCTCTAGTGTGCCACAAAGGAACATACATATATATGTTACCGGCCAAACCCGATTTCAGGACAAACTAGTTTTGCCTAGGCTAAACTAGTTCTTCCTATACGCGATAGGATTAATTAGTATAGCCTAGTCCAAACTAATTTGTCCTAAGCCCGATAGGATAAACCAGTTTAGCCTAGGCCAAACTAGTTGATCCTGATATAAATACGTACACTCTAGGATAAACTAGTACGACCTAGTCTAAACAAATTTAGCAGAGTCGAAAGTAATTGAACAAATATGTCAGGACTTGTACAGGTTGCGTCATGTAAAAAGAACGCTGGAAGAAAGTGGAGGGAGTGTGTATGCGCATTGATGCAGCTGCAACAAAAACTGTTCCACAAACAAACAGTTGCCAATGATGGCACTGATACTACTCGCTAATTCAAGAAGGCAAGAAGACAATGATACTCTGCAATTCTAAGTGGCACCAAAGAACACCATGTAAAAATAAATAACAATTTTAATAATTGAGATATTATTATTGCTGCTATTAAAAAAACACATATTATTTGTTATAGTATGATTGTTTTTATTACTAATTATCCAAAACTTTTAACGATGAATCATTATCGTTTTAATAAAAAATATTTCCAATTACGGAGTATTTTATTCACTTTATCTATTTATTTTGACTTTCTAGATATACTATAATGATTAGACTAGGCCATACTAGTTTATCCTAGAGTATGCGTATTTATATCAGGATCAACTACTTTGGCCTAGGCTAAACTGGTTTATCCTATCGGGCTTAGGACAAATTAGTTTGGACTAGGCTATACTAGTTAATCCTATCGCGTATAGGAAGACCTAGTTTAGCCTAGGCAAAACTAGTTTGTCCTGAAATCGGGTTTGGCCGGTAACATATATATACACTGTTAAACAGTATACCCTGTCTGCGCGTCGCGCTCTTGCATTGTGCAGTCGGGTAAAAAGAGGTCCATTTGGATTTTTTTCTTATTACGAATTCATAACACTTGTAAGTTTCATTCTGCCAAGACCAGTCTGATGTGATCAGTTGGATGAATGTGTTTCATAGTTATTCAATTGGACATGGTTAAATGAAAAGGATCCAACAAGTCTTATCGAAAATTAGTTTAGTATACCAAAGTACTCCTTAAGGTCAGTTAAGGTCAACACTATTACAACACGACAAAGATCCAAGCAAAATTCAAGTGTCATATGATTTTGTACAAAGATAAAGTTGAGAATTTAAGAAGAAATAAAATATAAAATTAAAAAAATCATATCTCAAAACTAAGTTTGGGTGGGTTGGATCCTTTTCATTTAACAACGTCCAATTGTACTAAGGACCCCCCCCCCCCCCCCAAGCCAGGAATGTAGTACTTATAAAACAATTTATTTCGAAATTATGTAAACCCTATATATCACAATTGAATTAAACCATACCGTGAGTACAAGTTAATACAGCTAGCTGCAGCAGCATCTATGTGAGAAATGAAGAAGGCATTTAATAGAATATATGCCCTATGCAACAGGGTATTTTACAAGGTTTAGAACAAGATCGCACATTATTAACTTATATAGATGGAGTCTATAAAAAGTGGAAAAACATTGTTGTGGTGTGCATTTCACTAAAAAAAAACTAAATCAAAATTTTAATTTTCAAATTGCCGCGAAGTGTAAGGTTTCTAATCGATGTTTGTTAATTTAACGCATTTGAAGCAAACTGTGTCCAACTTAAACCTGTTTATTGGTTGAAGCTTGAAGAGGTAAGGGGCTGTTCAAGTATTACGTAAGCACTACAGGGGGGCAGGGGGGTCTTTGCTTTGCTTATTTTTGATGACAAGGGGGGGTGAGGGGTAGAGAAGGTGATGATACTAGTAAGAATCTGTTATAAATGGATTGTCTTTTTGTATGTTTTACTGAATATCGTCAGAAAGAAACCTAATTGAGAGGAAGTACAAATAAAACACGATTTGTTAGTACAAAATAATAATTTATTTGAGACTCATTAATAATTTCATCGTTTTACATACATACAATTGTTTTTTGGCGTGGAGCTTTGGCGGCGGGCGTCTGTAAGACTGCCCCTGAGGTGCTGCAGTCATCATACGAAGACTCTATTGGTCCAGCACCTCTTCGACCACAATCACCAGTTCCTCAAAGGAATACTTCCCAACGCGATCTCTTTTCATAATGACCATTCCCAAAAGTAATTTCCTGGGATATCTAATTTAGTGTGAAAACTAGTTTGTCTAAGAAGATTTATAGGTGCAAAGTATTTCTTTTGTTTTACGTGTGTTTTAATTATTTATTATTTTAACCAGTTTCAGTCTACATGAAAGAAGTCTACGGTATGGTTTAGGTATTGGTAGTTCAGTAAAGAGGTCGCGATGGGAGGTATCGTTAGTGGTTTGGTGACCATAGTGCGATCTTTTGTGACGGTCGTGAAGTTAGCAGCGAGCAGCACTAAGTGCAAAGTTTAAGTCAATTCCCGTGTGCGTCTACGTTCCTTGCCTGAATACAAAAAAAGTGGGTAGATGAGTGCGAGAGAGGCGACCGATCGTGCGGCCAATATGTCGTGTATCCATTTAGTGCACTACTGTTTTCACTTTTTATAGGGAGTTGTCAATTTCAAGAGTATTTCTTAATTTATTCCTTATGTTTATGATGTACATGTATAACTCTCGTTTGCTGTATCATCAAACGGACAACTGTTTAGGAGAGAAAAAAACATCTATATATACGAAGTATGGATCTCCAGACCGCTTCGGATCTTTTACCTTTTTTTTGTATTTATAGTTAGAAAGGAAACGCTCCTTATCTATAGTGACATCTTAAGCGTCTACATTATCCAACAGATAAGATGTTATATGATAGAATTACTATTTTACAAAGGCCGCTAAATATAGCTCCAAATTTATACAGCTAAACTTCAATACAAACACGCACACAGGTAAAACAAAATACTTTGATAAATTCAAATATCTGCAAATGAATTCGGCTATACATTCATTCGATAAAATGATGTTAAAAGGAAATTCCAATTAATCTCATGATTGGCGTGTTCATCGCAGTTTTTTGGCCCCACCTACTCGATCGCAGTTTAAGTGGAACCACTTTTTAGCGCATTTCTAATTGTTTGACATCGTCATGTCCTACATTCCGTAAAGTGTTGCTAAGTTCACGGCCGTCACTGAGTCTGCCTGCCTATTCTGCCGTCCTCAAACTAAAGTGCGGCTAAGTGGCATGCGGTCGATTTTTCAGTCTTAAATTGCATCTTTTACAGTTTTTAATTCTCTATTGATCTGTCGTTAATAAGCATTCGCATCTTTTATAGTTTAAATCTAGAAATCCGTCATGTGGTGAATGGTTACAAAAAAGGGGAAACTACCCAATCATTGGCACTCTTCCTATCATTGGCACTTTTGAGTTTAGTTTGAAAAAAACAGGAAATGATGATAATAATAATTTGACCATATCTTAAAAGTTGGTTTTGTCATTTGGCCGCGTTTTAGCTTGCGGACGGTAGTATTGTTCAGTAGTGGTCGTCGTCGTCATCGTCGGCGGCGGGTAGCGCGGCACACGCGTCGTGAGCCCTCCTGCCCACATGCAGGGTCCTCCCGGGGACATGTCGCGTGGTGTTCCGCTGACGGAACACTGTCAGCTGGCGCCCGCCCAGCTGCGACCGCAGCTCCGACACGTGGCTGCAACGATGGACACCGTCAGTGTTAGTGTTTTGTTAGCCTGATAGAGATACCAATATTTTGAAAAATAACGGAAATCTGTCGGTCGTCCAAGTGCGTCCACTTGACGTTTCTCACCGGACGCTCAAAACCTCAATCTCGAAAACAAGAAAACGTTTCAATGAATTTTATGTTTCGTATCTAAAATTTCTCTTTCACAATAAAATTTTAATCAATGAAAACTTTCAGTTTGCATAAATCATGCATGCAGTCGAGACTTTTTTGTAGCGTGTCGTTTTATAGTGTTTGTATAATGTGTGTCACCTGTAATCGTGTGATCGCGTGTAGAGACGCAGACAGAGCTGCGCGCGCGCATAGAAGTCGAGATGCGCGCGCACGTAGAGGCGCGGCTCCAGCCACACGCGGGCCCCGGCGCGCAGGGAGCCCCACGCGGACCGCACTCGGGCCCCCACCCGACCCGCGACCCCCGCTCGTACCGCGACCGCACCCAGTGCGCTGCGGGACCACAGCGACACCTGCGGCAACCGACCGCAATCTTAGCATCGTTAACCATATGCTTAGTATTTAAACACTGAAACTATCAATGAAACAGATATAATGCCCTTCCGACGTAACAATATTAACATAAAACGTACGAAACATTTGCAGAATTTAACATTTGTACGACTGCCACGTGAACGGTAAACGCGCGTAAAGAGAAACATATTTGTCACCGTCCGCCCCGCCCCGCCCCACACTTGGGCCACAGCTCCGTCCCTCACCTGCGCGTGCGCGTCTATACCCGTCGCGAGGGCGGCGCGCCAGTCCAGGTCCAGCCTCGCGCCCACCAGCAGCGGCAGGCGGCACCCGGTGGGCGGCAGTGCGGCCACGGAGCGCAGCACGGGCGTGGGCTCGCTGCCCGCCCCGCCCCACACGTGGGCCAGCAGCTCCGTCTGCGACGAGAACAGCCGCAGCGGCGGCAGCCGCCTGCCCAGCACGCTCAGCGATATGCCGCCCATTACCGCCTCCTCCTCTAATTAAACGATCATCGTAAGTGACTATACTGCAAGCTTCAAAAGTTATACTATAGTAATTTATGTTATTAACGGGATTGCTACGTGCCTAGACCTTTCGAACCCCCGCGTCCAGCGGTAGTCGAACGCCGTATCTGGGTAACTTTTGGATCGGCAGATTGGGACGGTAAACGTGACTACTTTGCTTTCTTCAATGACAGGGACCTATCGGCCAGCGCCGTTGCCATTACTGAGGAGATTAGAATGGGTATGGAATACTATATTCCTCATTCTCATCTCATCAGTAAGGGCACACGCAACCCCTGGTTCAATCACGATTATGCTGAAACTGCTTCGCGTAAACGACCGGCATATCGTGTTTGGATCAGAGGCCACGGTCTTAAGGATCCCGAAGTCGATTCGCTCAAAGCCGCCTACAATTTTGCTTTAAATGCCTGTAAGAAGGCTTACATCAGAGCGGATGCCCAGCGAGTTGCACGTGTTGGACGGAGACTTATAACGCATCATACGGGCTCCCGTAGCTACTGGCGTTTGGCCAAGGCCGTGCAGAAGAACTTCTACCAGCCCTCGCTGCCACCAAATGCATGCTCTGCCTGCTCAACTGTTCCCTCCTTCTTACAACCTGGGATCTTTTAAAAGAGGCATGAAGAAGCAACATGCAGGCCAGAAAGGTGAGGATGGCTGGTGTGGCAGGTAGAACTGCAGTACAAGCTACCTTTACATCTAGACTTCACCATTATTTAACATCAGATGGGGTGGAGTCATTTGTCGGACCTATCTATAAAAAAAATAGCATGGACGCAGACCCAGGTATTATAGTGTCATCGTAGTATGTACTCCCTCAGATTTTCCAATTTTGTAATTCGGTGTTTTCATGACAATGGTCAATAGCTTCCGAGATAATACATGCATGCCATGAATTTGTAATTGGCTTAGTTTTATATATAAATTTACTCAAACATGTAATTAATAAAAAAATAGTTTCCTAATAAAGAAAAAAAAAACTCAGTTACTCCGTGATCATGGCGTTTACAGCAGTGCCAAAATAAATAAGGTACGTGGTAGTAATCCCGTTAACAACATAAATTATTATTTATTGTCAGTGACCATCGCAATATACAATATATTGTATTTTACTGCGATGTTAATATGATAAAAGTTATATACCTACTTCAAAAAAGAGCAATATTAAAAAAAATATGTTTTCAATCCAATAGTATCAATAGTCCAGGCAACGAAAAGGTATAGAGGGAAATGCTTTGAACACAATTTTTAACTTCGTAACTTTGTTAGGACTAACTAGGAGGTAAACATTTTTAGGTTTTTCGCATATATCTCGGAAACTATGCATATGAAGACTTTGACAAAAGTGAAAGCTGATTAAATTTGCTACAAGTCTTATTCATTCAAGTTTTTTGATATCTTGTATAGTTTTCGAGATATCCGCTCTTAAAAGTCTGTAATTATAGAAAAAAAAATTTGCTTCACATTTTTGCTCTATATATATATATATATATATATTACTAGGTAGGCAAATGACTCTACCCCACCTGATGTTAAGTGATGATAAAGTCCAAACGCGAAGATAGCTGGTACAGCAGTTATAAACTGCTACACCAACCATTTGACCGAATAACTCTTCAACAATGCCGGTCGTAGGGTTGTTGGTTCCACCAGTGAGCAGCATGCAGATTTCGGACAAGCCCGCCAAAACAAGGATGGAGCTGACATTGCCAAGCTCACCGATTGGTTTGAGAAATTTTCTCCCTTCCCAGAGACCAGAGACATTATCAAGTCACCAGAAATCCAGAAAACAGCAGCGGTCTTTTCACACCCTTTCTCCACCACCGCTCAAGTACAAAAGGCAGGCGAAACCTGCGTCTTAAGGTGGTATGGAGCTCCAGCGAAAGAGATTTCCCTCAATGCCTACAGATACAAGTCATTCTTGAAATCAGATATCTCTTGTCTTCCTCTCACCGAGGGAGCAGTAAAACAGCATTCCCAGGAAGTGGTGGCAAATTTTCTTTCCATAATTACAGACTTTCAAGAGTGGATATCTCGAAAACTATACAAGATATCAAAAAACTTGACTGAATAAGACTTGTAGAAAATTTAATCAGCTTTCACTTTTGTTAAAGTTTCATATCACTAGGATGCATAGTTTCCGAGATATATTCGAAATACCTAAAAATGGGACCTTCAATCCCCCCCCCCCCCCCCACCCCCCTTCCCACCGGCTTAAGGGCTACGGGCGGGGATTTTTGATATGTTTACCTCCTAACTAGTCCTAACAAAGTTACGAAGTTAAAAATTGTGTTCCAAGCATTTCCCTCTATACCTGTTTTTGAGCATTCGTTGCCTGGACTACAATGGCAGAATTTTGTCTTTTACAATATTTTTAGATGGCGTTATATCACAGTTCATTTGTTTTCAAAACCTTAAAATAAATGACAAAATCTAATTTCTAAGTAAACCATAATGTAACTAGCTGATAGAATAAATAAACATACTTTTTAATAATTCTATAACTGTAGAACTAATTTGAGAGCAAATTTGACTCATCAAAGATTATGAAATGACTTATGAAGACTTATTCGAAATACTAATAGCAACCTATTTCACTTAAATTGAATTTTTACATTTTTTTTAACACCAAAATCTATTCACTTATTTAATTTCAAATACAACAACTATTCCAAGGAAAACCAAATTTATTTATAATTATTCTGTATGATAGACTGACCGTCCTCCCCTTCATCCAGGTGAGGTTCTGCGCTGTCGTCATTGCCCACGATGCCCTGCATGCCGCGCGTCCACAGCTCCACGCCCAGCAGGTCGCACCCTCGCCCGGCGCCAGCATCATCACCAGCAGCCCGCACCGCGGCCAGGTCGACGACCCCGCGGCGGAGCACCCCGCCCGACGCCACCTGCACGGACTCCAGGCGGGCGCTCCACTCCCCCGCGCCCCACCCGAGGTCGCGGGTCAGTACCGACGACGTTCCTGCATACATCAAACTTTATTCGAACCGACTTGCGCACATACCGATCTTTAAATTATATACATATACTAGCTGACCCGGCGAACTTCGTACCGCCATAAAAAAAAATGGGTGCGTGTACTTATGTAGGCGCGTTAGAAGTTACCCTTCTTTGGCATCGTTTAAAATTAGTTTTTAATTGCATGCAAATAATTAATTACAATAAATTAATAAAAAGTCTGCTAAAGGACACAGTCCATAAACTTCAATTTTAATTTGAAAAAATAAATAAATAATCAAAATATTCAATTAAAATCGCTACTGAATATAATTTATTAGAACATATGTGATTTGCACTTGCATGAAACTCAAACACGTATTCCGAATATACAAACTAGAAACATATGGATAAATATTATAAATACCTATAACTGTTACTTTATTACAAAAAATAAAGATGTGGTTTTTGGTTCTACTACACCAATGGTCAAGAGATGGCGCTGTAGTCTCCTAAATCGCGCTTTGGTTCCGTTGTTCCAGATTAATAAATACTTTTGATAGGCCTTCACAATGCAGTCGTTAGCACCCACTAAATAGAGATTCTATTTCTATTTTGTTGGTAGATTTTCTTAATGTGCGGTAAACGCAAAAGTAACGCATGAAGTTGGCCGCAAAAGCGACCAACTTCATGCTGTTAAAATTTTGTGTTACAGTGATGCGCGCGCATCTTAAAATTTCACTCTCATCATTTTTTCATAACGCCCCTAAAGAAGTATAACTTCAATAAGGGTTGGTGGTAGAAGGGTGAAAATTTAGGGTTGTATGTATTTTTGTATGATGTATCATAAAAAAATTTAAAAAAAAATATATCTAAAATTAAAAAAAAAAATTTAGGGGTGGATTACCCTTAATATTTAGGAGAATGAAAAATAGATGTTATCAGATTATCAGACTTACTCAATATGCACACAAAATTTCATGAGAAAAGGGAATGCCGTTTCGGAAGAGTTTAACCACAAACAGCGCGACACGAGAATTTTATTTATTAGATTTAAATGTCCTAAATGGCATTCGATCAACATAATGCCGTGATAATCTCGCGTGCAGCAGCGTAACTGAGTAAATCGCTGATTTACAGTTTTTATTTCAGATATATGAGATTACGAATTTAAATGTCAATTTATATTTACATTTAACGAAACTAAAATTACCTTATATTTTTAACGAAATGTTTTTTTAAGTTTACATCCAAAAATAAATTAAGGCCCGCTTACACTTATATTATATATCTCTATTTAAATAAAACTAGATTTAACTAACTAAAATGATAAAACATCAATGTCAATTTAACATGATTGTATAGGCTAAATGTAATTTTAGTGAAATTGAGATATAGTAAAATTGTTGCATGAAGACCTAAGTGTCGTAATTTGTTTAAATTTAGCAATTCATATTTAAATAAAACATCTAGAATAATATAGAGATGCACGAAAATTAAACAATCCAGTTCGAAGGACCAAAACGTAATTTTTAAAATAAAACTTTGTACCTTAAATATTATTATGCTAAACGCTAAATGCATACTTGAGGCATATGAGTATTGTAGAATATTACGCAGAGATAATTAAAAATAACGTTTCTTTATATGCAATATTTCTTAGTATAGCCTTGATTTATACCTAGCGTTGTCTTTGTCTCCTTGTTAGCAATCAAAAGAAGCAGCTTCAGATTAAGGTTTAACTATAGACCACGTTTTGTAATAAGCCGGAATGGGTTTGTTTAGTGTCTCAAAACAACACTTAAAAAATAATATGGATAAGAACCGCAATAAGGAGTGGTTCCACGCAAACTGTGATCAAGTGGGCGGGGCGAAAAATCATATAGTGCGATTCAAATAAGAATAGGAAAGCCAAATGTCGCTTGAAAAGTACGGTTTGCAAAATAATCTTGGAACCTTTTTTTAGCACTCAGCTAATTCTAGAATAAAAACCAAATATTTGTAAACAAACAATAACAAATATTGATAATTAATTTTGGTTGATATTTTTATTTCATTTATTGAGCTTTAGCTATGAATGGTTGATAACCTGAAACATCAACCAAATGTCACTTTAAGTTGCGTTTAGAAACTCGATTTAAATTTTTGTTTACATAAGGGATGCATGTTCGTATGTGACCTAGTAATAGTGCATGATTATTCATAACTACTCCGGCGGTAATGTAGAGATGAGTGACATTGAAGCTAGATTCTGATTAATGTTTTTTCTCAAACAGTCTTAATAAATATGTCGACGGATGGCGTCTCGCTGGCTCCTGCGAAACGTAAAACCTACAACAAATGTCATCAGTCATTGTACCATTGCTTTGTGAAACGTCAAGTTATAACAGTGACAGCTGTCATAACTCGGGAGTGGTCTATGCTAAGGGTAGTATTTAAGGGGGTAACGCTTCATTGGAAGGGGCATTCAGCATTCAGACGTGAGCCGCGGTAGTGAACGGACGTTAGCACAGAACTCTACGCGCTTCACAAGCAATCCGTTTGTGCCTTTGCAATCATTGCTGATTTTGTAAAATGATTAGAAGATTCAAATTAAACGTTAGCTTGGTCACTAGACTACATTTTCGGGAAATATCATTGAATAACCAAGATGGCGGATCAAGACGAACCACGTGGCCAACCGCCTCGCCCATCCGACAAATAAATATTATTAAATATCGTTTGTTTTTTTTTCTCAATCTTAGTAATTAAATTTTATTAAAAAATCGGATGTTTTTTACTTAATCTTATTCAATTAGTTTTATTAAATAAAAAAACTTTTTTTGCTCACTCTACCTATTCGGTTCGAATCGACCGCTATCACGTCCTATTCTTAGTCGAATCGCATCATACACGCCGATCATGGGATCGGGATTTCCATTCAACATTATCTTACCCAACGTATGGATAGCCAAATTAATTTATAGACATATAATTTGTCAGTTTTTTATTCGTTGTGTGCGTATCGCGTTAGTATTGGAGTTTAGTTGCGAGAATTCGGAAGCATGTTTTAGCGGCCTTCGTTAGAGAGAAACGCTTCCTTATAATTTGTAATCGGTGGCGTTGAGTAAGGCGGACATACCCCTGGGTGCGTGCGCTCCCCAGTTGTCGTTGGGCTGCAGCTGCATGAGGTGCAGCGCGTGCAGGCGGCCGCGGTACAGGCGCACCAGCTCCGAAGGACCGTTGCGGACCAGCTCCGCCCCCACGGAGACCAGCTGCAGCGGCCTGCTGGCGCTCGATATCATCAGGAGGTCTGCACAGTGCACACCCCGAAATACTACACATCATACTCTGCACTATCATAATAAAAAGCATTTTACTTTAGGGACACGAGCACTCATGAATGTCTAGAAAACCCGCCATGGGTTCGTAAATCTACGACGGGAGACCTTGTACTGAGAAAACCGGCAAGAAATTCGGCAATGGCTGTTTTTCTTTTCCTGCGTTGTTACATATATACAAAACGCGAGATGAAAGGATTTTGGTGAGTGTGGTGAGGTGAGACTTATTATTATGATTTCCCATTGCGGATCGATTCCGCACCCCCTGAGCCTAGCTCCAGCGGCCAGGGGTTCGATTGCCTAGCGGGATTGCTGTGGCTATCGCTATCGCTCACTGTTTCGTTTTGTTATTTCTGACCCCCGAAGGTTTTCAAATACCTTAAGCTCATTTCCTTTATAATTGTTATTACCAATGCAAAAGGAAAAAAAAATGAACGCGAAGCATTTCAAAACCTTCAGCGGTCAGAAATAAATAAATTGAATGAAATGAAAAGTCATTTATATAGTCTAGGTGTTACAAGTACTTGTGAAGGTCAAGAAGCTGCGCTATCGGTTCGCAAATCTACGGCGGGAGACCTTGTACTGAGAAGAACCGACAAGAAACTCAGCAAGGGCTGCTTTTTTCTCCCTGTATCGATATATACAGAATCGTCAAGTTGAAAAATGACTTTAGAGATACTTCCATACTTCAGTCACCTTCCATTACATCATTTAGAATATAGATATAGTTACAATAAATTTTATATTTAGTATATAAGCAGCGGCATTAGATAGGTACCATATTACTGTTACAAAAACTGACTAATACCCATCAAATAACAAATTACAAAAAACACTATGTTCATGCATTGCGATCATTTAGATATTCATCAACTTTATACCTTAAGCTCAGCATGAGATATGATATGAGATGAGATATTGGTGGGATTTATTGATTGCATATAGGTATAACCGGGACAGTTGTAAGCCATAATAAAGAAGTGTTTTTCTATAAACAATGTTTTTTAATAGGAATTGTTCCACCAGTTATGTAAGTAAATTGGCAAGAATCAATTTTTCTAACTGACTATTTAGATGGACAACGGGTAAACAAATTATAATACAAAATTCTTAATATAGTTGTAAGGAGCAGTCTTTAAGGAGTAGTCCATTAGGAGCATAGAAACACACTTAAATTTAACTGTATACTAGCAAATTAATGTGTAAAGAAACCTCTTAAAGAAACCTTCTTAATTCATTTATTCAACTTCAAATTAACAGTTCTTATAATGAATAATTAGAGACGACACATCCGAACACTTCGGCGATTATCAGCGGAATGTTTCTTGTCAACTTTTACTCCCCACCATGATTCACTAACTATAACTATCCGGTTTTTATTAATTTAACTACAACGATCGATAAACTACTTTTATTAATTCATAATTTAGATAAAATTAAATGGAATCTAATACATGTAGCATGTTATCAAAATATTTTTGCTCTCTTTATCCTTTACTTTGTTATCTGCAATGAGGGCTACCGTTTTCTGCCTCACCAGATGGCGCCACCGTCGAGTGAGGTCCTAAATTATAACTTTTAAAGTTTATTAATACGCACATGAAATCAAAGGTTACATTTAGATCGTATTTTAACACAAAAGAAGCATATCCTAAACATAATAGGCCATGCCACAGTGACGCGCAGTTCCGTTTTATTCGGAAAAAACGGGAACATAATCATTTTTCTAAGCTCAAATTTTTAATAACTGACATTCATTGCCACGTAATTCATATTTGCCATAATTAAGCCGAATCGTTACCAATCATTCACAATATTATTTTAATCAGAAATAAACCCGCGTAGTCGACCAACAAGCAATAACATTTGACATTTCGGAGACCTCACGCTACACTAGCGCCTCTAGCGGCGGATTCATACGCGATAGCTCTCATTGTGAAACATTTGAAAAATATGAATAGTTAAAGATAACCCATACCTAGTGCGGCGGCGCGCACTTCTAGCGGTCGCGCGGGCTGCAGCGCCAGGTCCCTGAGGCGCTGGCGGCGCGCGTGGTGCAGCGTGGGAGTGGCAGCGTCGGCGTCGGCGCTCGCTGCGTGCAGCGCGCGCAGCGCTTCGAGCGCGGCCAGCGCCAGGTCCCGGGCGCCGCGCTGGGCCTGCTCCAGCAGTATGTCGGCGGTGTCCGCGCGCCGCAGCTCGCCCAACGCGCCCACTTTCACCGCGCGACATTCGTCGTCCTGACACACCCTCGCTTCTTCGTTATCTTATCAGTCGGAGGATTTCGGATCATACAAACTCTACTTATTTTAAGGCGGATCGTGTGACACGATTTTGTTTGTTACCCTTCTTTTAAAAAAATGAATGCGTGTAACTTATGTACGCGCGTGAGAAGTTATACTTCTTTGGCATCATTAAAATATTTTTTAATTGCATGCAAATAATTAATAATTACAATAAAATAACAAGAGGACTGGAAAAGGATAGTTAACACAGTCAATTAAGTTCAGTTTTCATTTGAAAAATGAAATAAATATTCAAAATATTCAATTAAAATTACTACTGAATTTAAGTTATTAGTCCATATGTTATGCATTTGTAAGTAACTAAAACACGTTGTGTTCTTGACCTTCACAAGTGCTTGTAACAGCCTAGACTGAATAAATGTCATTTCATTTCATTTCATTTCATTTCATTTCAATGTCCCGTTCAAATCTGCCCTGTTTGCTTTGTTCAAATCTGCTCCACGGTCACTTGGAAAATAAAATATTACAAATAACGCGCCTGCGGCTAACTTCATTATGTTAAAATTTTGTGTTACAGTGATGAAAATTTCACTCTCATAATTTTTTCATAACGCGGCTAAAGAAGTATAACTTCAAAAATAAATAAATATTAATTAAAGCTTCATAAAAATATTTAATGGAAAAAATTGTTTTCACCATAAACAAAATCCAACGAAAAGTTAATAACTGAACGTAGGCTAGATCCACGAGGACCTGCTCCAGAACGATCGACAAAAGATTCGAGCTAGTGTCAGAAGTATGAGTGAACGGAAAGATGAGTCCCGTTCGTTAGTTACAACGTGAAACGTGAGTAACATATTAAAATACGCACCTTGCACCGGGCGAGTCCTTTCACCAGCAGGTCGCGCATATTGTCCGCGGCGGGCGCGGGCAGGCGGGCGGCCAGGCATGCGGCGGCCCGCAGCGCGGCCGCGGCCACGGCCGGGTCCCGCGCGGCGCCCGCCACCCGCGCGAGCTCCGCGTCCGAGCCGCGGCCGGGTACCGGTGCCAGCGCTGCCGCCGCTAGGAACTCGCGAGCTAGCGGCTGCAGCGGCGCCCGCCCCTCCAGCTGCAGGAACGACGTCGCCGCCGATATCGACGCGCGCGTGCCCGACAGGCCCAGCACGCGGCACAAACCCGCCCTACCACCGACGCATCGTTATAAACCAAACGCCCCCCGCCGGGGCCCCGGCCTTCCCTATGGATGGAATAGGGAGGGCGGGCCTTGACCCGGCACGCGGACTCGGTTCCGCCCGGTGAATGCCGCAGCCTGGATCGACGGCTCGACATGTTTTCCGAAGAACGGCGAAGCTCGAGATAATAGAAATTTCGGTCAACCGTCCAGGGACCGATCGTTACGGAAGTTACTGAGCTTCGAGGATCGAGTGAGAAGATGAAACGAGATTTTTCGCCCCAGCTTCTACGGCGGCGACAGACCGTTCGGTTGTAGGAACGACTGCATGACCGACCCAGCATGGAGCATAGATCCTGGCATCGCGGAAGGATATAAAACGGGCTTCTACACTATTTTACCGCTGAAGATTATAGTGAGAAGCTCGATGACGCCAGTGGTTAACGCGTTCGGCTGCGGTCGTTGAAGTTGAGCATCTTTCGCAGTGGTCGGTCATTGCATGGGTGACCAAAAATTTACTATCTCGATCTCCTCCATGCTTCGAAAGGCACGTTAAGCCGTTAGTCCCGGCTGCATCTGCTGTCATTAGCACCCACTAACTCGCGCTGAACCCGCGTGGTAGGTCATAGCTCTACCGATCTCAATCTCCCTAATCCATCTATAGAGAAGACCTGTGTCTCAGCAGTGGGGACATTAATAGGCTGATGATGATTGTTTTTGATTTTTCTAATAATATTATTTTTTACAAATGTAAAACTCAATTAGTAGTTTTATACGTAATTCTTGACGTTTCGGATCTTTTACGTTATATTACGAAACTGAGATATGCGTAGTAAAGCCGAAATGAAAAGGAAAGAATACGAAAGTAAGTATCGTTTCTAAAATTTCACTAAGCTATTTCATAGTATCAAAATTTTCAAATCACTAATGCCGGTTTTTAAATATTTCTTTTTTTAATGTAGCTAGGATCTGACAGTTATTAAAAAGTATTATCAAAACAAGAATATGAAAGAAATGACATCAAAAAATTAAGTACATTGATTTGGAATAAAGCGTAAGTCTCACAGTATCGGGTAGTTGTCCTTATCGTCGAGCAGCGCCTGCAGCTGTTGCACGGTAGCAGCCCTCACGGCCGGCAGCAGGTCCAGCACGGCGGCCGCCTGCGCCGCCTCGCCGCCACCACCAGCCTCCTCACCGCCCAGCGCCGCCCGGTGCTGCTCCACCAACGCCGGCAGGGACTACACACACATAACACGATATAAACACACATACACATATGAAATTAACAACAGTACGCCGGCAAGTGTGTCAACCATCTTCGCGTCTAGACTCCACCGTCACTAAACATCAGTTTAATATAATATTTTGAAGTTATACTTCTTTAGCCGCGTTATGAAAAAATTATGAGAGTGAAATTTTAAGATGCGCGCGCATCACTGTAACACAAAAGTAACATAATGAAGTTAGCCGCGGGCGCGTTATGAAAAAATCATGTGTGAAATTTCGAGATGCGCGCGCATCACTGTAACACAATAGTAACACCATAAAGTTGGCCGCGGGCGCGTTATGAATGTTAGTGTCTAATAATGGTGGATTATTAACCACTAAGTGGTATTAGACATCTGTTCGAAAGGTACTTTGAACGATCCACGGAGCTCCATAAGATGATCGCGTTGTCAAAAACAATGTTGGCACGCTCGTCGCCTCTGATCACTGTTTTCATATTTATAATATTTAGTCACATGTTTCTAGTTTCTATATAGACACAACGTGTTTTAGTTACTTACAAGTGCTAATACTAGTACATATGGACTAATAACTTAAATTCAGTAGTGATTTTAATTGAATATTTTGAATATTTATTTAATTTTTCAAATTAAAACTGAACTTAATTGACTGTGTTAACTATCCTTTTCCAGTCCTCTTATTATTTTATTGTAATTATTAATTATTTGCATGCAATTAAAAAATATTTTTAATGATGCTAAAGAAGTATAACTTCTCACGCGCGTACATAAGTTACACGCATCCATTTTTTTGCACTTTATCCAACTAAACGACGCAGCAAATTACTCCACCCTGCCCGATCATCAACAGCCTATTGATGCCCCTTCTACTTTTTCTATGAGTGTAATCGGGATAATGGACGGATTGATGGATGCTAACCCTTGCAAATGCAGCCAGGACCGACGACTTACTGTGCCCTAACGAAGTACGGAAGAGTTTCATACTTTTTTGGTCCCCCGTTCTAAGATCGGCTATTGCGAAAGTTGCTTTACTTTCACGATTGCAGGCTAAGCGCTCTGACTACATGCGCCATCAACCTATTTATTCTATTTGCAACATTTAACACATTAAAATAGCTTTCCTCAAAAAAATTGCAATAAGGGAATTATGGGGATTATTTAGTAATTACAAAAATAAACAAAACATTATTTGACAAATAATATCAATAACAAATTACGTGCTACCTACAGACTGCAGATAGCGATTACCACATCGCTGTCGATTTTTCGATTCGATACACACACATTAAAAGAGCATTGACTTAAGCTGTGCGCAGTCTGCTGTAAAAATACCGTGACTAAAATTGAATGCGGGATTTGCAATACCCAATTTTAATGGACCCTTACTCTGATTCGTTACGTTCCCTAAAATATAGTTGAGCGAAGCGATGGCTGGTTCATGCATCATGCTCGTGAACGGGTGCTGCCAGTGGAGATGTGTCTGCTCTTGCTTCATTGGGTACTATTAATCGTTGTACTAAGCTTTAATCGTTCATTTTTTTGCCTAAACAGTAGGACACGACATTCCTAAACATTCCTAAACTTTGTTAAACCGGTTTTGTAAAAAATACAATTATTTATTTTATAGTCATAATTTTTATATTATATGCATTTGTAATGGAAAGTGACTTTATGAGTTACCTCATATTGAAGTCATTTTTCAATTTGACGACTCTGTATATAATACAGGGAGACTCTGTATATAATCAGCCCTTGCTGAGTTTCTTGTCGGTTCTTCTCAATACAAGGTCTCCCACCGTAGATTTGCGAACCGATGGCGTAGCTTCTAGACATTTACAAGTGCTTGTAACAGCCTAGACTGAATAAACGATATTGAATTTTGTTTTTTTTTTAATTAATTAAGGGAGGTTTAATGAAAGTTAAGAAGTAAGGGACTCGACTAGGGCAATCAGCGCGGTGTAATAACTGCTTACTCTAGCTAGAGGCCACGCACACCCTTTCGATTGGGCCCTTAAAATCGGGTAGTGTAAATCCCGTTTTAAGAAATAAGCAATATGCATTGCACCAAACATATTAACACTCAACTACTCCAGCTGTGTCCACAATGGGCGCGCTTCTGACAAGCTTGTGCTTTGTGGCGTCTCGCTATTTACCTACGCGTCAACTAAATTCTACGTCTGAACAGCGCCTTATAATGTAACTCATTTACACAGTCACGCTTAATTCCGTAATACACAAATATTTAACATCTGCTCAATTCATTTCATGTTTAATCTCGTATATGTGTAAAAAATAGGTTATTATAATAATTCACGCTCTTAATTGAAGTTTTCATTCAGAGATTATCTACTACAGTTAAAGAAAAAACTAAGTTTAAAAAAACCGCCTATGCTTGTCGTGGAATTTAAGCTATTTTCGTGTTGGCCGGTTATAGGATCGATGACAAAAATACTATTTAGAGCTGCGCTGCGCCGCGGTTCGGAAGACACGATAAGCTGTTGGTCCCAGTAGCATCGGTCGTTCCCATCCATTAATCCGCATTGGGCCCAGTCTCCCTTTTCCATAGGGAAGACTTATGCCCCAGCAGTGGGAACATTAATAGGTTGATAATAATGATGATGACAGTATATTACCGATGCCGCGTCTGATTTACGTGCGCGTAATGTATTTAGATACGGTCACGTCAATATACATCCTCGGTGGTGCCCAGATAAAATCAGGATCCCCACACGCATAGCAACGATAGCACAATACCCACCGAGCCATATTGGTATTACACATCATGCGATACTACAATTAGCCATGATGAAAAATATTTAAGTTGAAAACTATGTCAGTTGTGTCCGATTCGCTTATCTAACAATAATATAATCAAAGCTCCACGGGAGCTAGGATCTAAGTTTTAAAATTAGGTATTTCTACTTGAATATCGCATGTGAATTATTAGTCACAGTAAAGTTGATGAGTGTAACAATGTTAGGCGACGTGGAGCGAGCGCTGCGCTGCGCTGTCTGTGTCGGGTGGAGGTCAGAGGTCAGAGGTCAGAGAGTTATCGTCGCCCGTAGATACCGCGCGCTGTTATCATATATTCAATGAACATAGCAATAACACTGCTTGTGTTGTCTATCGGTTTCGGGAGAAACTATACAGTTTTGTTAACAATTGAATTTTTATAACATTTTTTTTTCAAGACACCAGCAGCATTATCGCAACATCGCAACACATTAATAAATATTTCGCCTAAAGTTTATAGACATAAGTTTTAAACAAAAAGAGGCATGCAATTTCTCTACAGTTAGAAGAGTTTCCGATTAGCCGATAGACAACCCAAAATAGAATTAAATGTGCTTTTTTACTCAAATTTAGAATAAAAATAATATATTTGAAATACTATGAAAATGTATTATTATTAATCTTGGTTGGCAGATGTGATTTTTTATACTTACAGGTTGGTCTTCATTTGTGTCGGTTTCAACGAGACCGAGGGAAGCAGGCGAGAGAGTGGCGGGTACAGCGGCAAGCGCATCCTCGAGCGTGGAGGCTGCGGGCACGGCTACGGGCGCGGGCGAGGCGGACCGTTGCAGGCGGTGCCAGGAACGGGCCTTAACGCCCAGCTCCGAGTGCCCCAGCTCCAGCAGCTCTTCAGCGTGCACGGCGTGCAGTGACCCATCCTGCAGCGTGTAGCGAGTCACGCGCCGCGCCCTGCCCAGCGAAAATCCCGAGTCGCATTCACAGTCCCGCTGTAAACAAAGTGCAATCAAAACATACTCTATGGCATAAAATATACAAATAAACCGAAATTGAAATGATTTACCTTTATTTTTCTAAATACATCTGGTGATATTGACTCATAAAAAATGTTACAGGGCCCCGAGATGTCAGTCTCATTAAAATCCCCGTCGATAATTTGCAACTGCAAGAAGTAATATTAATCACTTACTATTCCGGAAATACTGTTTCTATTATATTCTGTTAAAAAATAACTCCACCACAACAAGCTCAAACAACTCATCACTTGAATGGTCAAATTTTCTAAGTAAAATATTTAAATCATGAGGGTTTTGGCCGATCCAAAATAGTTTTAGATACATATCAACACAAAACTAAAAGTACATTATCATAAAGCAAAAGTCACAACCACACTGTTCTAATTCTACAACCACTACCGAGACACAAGTTTACCTGAGTTCCATGACCAAATTTATCAATCAACACATGTGTGATAGAATAACATTATGATTCCAATTTATTAGCCCTAAAACCAGAATCAATGACAATGTTAGTTAATAAAGAAGACAATGTTAGCTTAGACATTATATAATTACATTATTACCAAAATAAATACCTATATAATAATTATGAAGTCAAAATGATACAATAGTATTAGAAAATTAGTTACTTATTTTTGTTTAAGTAATAAGTGTTTATGATATTACCTGAAATAAACTAATTAATGATTTTTTGTAATTGATAATATCTGGCAGCTCCTTTGAATCAAGATATGAGTTGTGGATGAGTCCATCCTTCCAGTGCACATAGAAAGAAGAATCTTGGTGCGAGTCCCACACTGAGGGATGTGCCATGAAGTTTGCATTCGGATGTTTTCCACGGAGATGCAACTTTGGCTCCAACAACTACAACATTAAATATAATATACTAAGTAAAGAGTTACATAAAATTTTAAGTATTTTTACTCTCATTGACTTACTGACAACTAAAAATTTAAACAATCTACAATATTTACCATGTTTTTAAAAAGCAATTTCATAAAGACCTTGTAAGTACAATGGTAAGAGAGCCTGCTTTTGTATTTACGATTCTATTAGGTCTCTAATACAGTTGTTCTCGAGTTTCCCCACATACCGTTTTTTAAACTATGTATATTTAAATAAAACAAGTTTCAATGGGTTATTTGCGCTGATTTTATTTATAAATTGATGTTTCGCATCCTTTGCAGGAATGCGTCGTCGGAATAATGTTTTTTTCAAAATCAGTGCATCTAATCCGTTTAAACTTGTTTTATTTAATGAGTAATGTGCGTAAAAACCTAAAAAACAAATATAACTAAATTTAAAACCAAAAAGCCTAGCGTAAAAACGTTTGATTGTATTTAACGAAGTTGTTTTGTTTAAGATTGATTTATGTTTTCAAGCCTGACCTGCAGTTTCAATAGGAATTCTGAATTGGAGTCTCTCCATAGCGGCTGGATTGCGAGCTGGGCCTTGATTTTATAGCTGACTTCCTTCTCAGTGCTGGAAATGTCGTTGAGAAACAGGGTCGACTCCACGTCGTACAAAACCGGCGTCTCGAACAACTTCACCTCGCCGTGATCGTATCGCGACACGGAAGACGAACTTACCACAATTCTAAATACCACAATTAAATTTACAACTAGAATAATTAAAGCTTTCATTTTTAATTGGTAATCAATCAGTTTAAAGTTAAATAAACTCAGAGTTCATTGTACTCCGGCGGATATGTCCACTATGGCTATATTTATATTCAAGTTTCTCTATGATGTCCACTTCCGACGCCGACTGACAGCTGATTAACAATAATCAGCTGTCCTGTCAGCCTTGCGGTCCGAACTGCGAAAACACTGCCAACGTTACGAACAGTGCAATGAATAATAATGATAGGTCCTAATTAAAATACGGTGCTATGAGCACTGTTTACACGATATCATATGACTGCACTTTAATCGCATTTGTGTGTTAATGACTTTTCAAGAATTCCTCTTGTGTTAGAAGGATCTACACTGCTGTTCGATTCTTCATCGAAAACTTTCAGTAAATAGACATTATTTTATTAAATAATGTCCATTTTACTAAAAGTTTTCGAACCACCAAAATTGTTTGTATTCTCTTGGCAGATAATAATCTATAATACAAACAATTTTGAGAAGAGTCATACAATACTATGAAAAATAGTTTAAGGAAATAAATGGAGAGAAATAACAATTTGTATACTTAAATTATACAGTATAAAACAATAAACACCTAAAATTTTAAAGAAAAAGTAAGTGAAGTATTCAGATTTTTTTAGCACCTCATAACTTCAAACGTCCAATTTGCGTTTGTCATAAGCACACACACTGATGTCGATTCTGGCATGATTCTCTAAAGCTAAACTTAAATTTGACAACAGTACATCCTTGTCCTTCTCTATACAGAATGAAAAGGTGAGACTGACCTTAAATTTAGTTTTAAGTTGAGAGAACCGCGCCAGAATTGACATCACTGGCCGTCCTTATTTTTGTGAGCAGCGTTTGCACGGCATCGCGTGAATCGGACCGCAACAAAGATTCTTTCAACTTGACAGTTATTTGACAGATAAATTTATCCGTTCTACGCATAGTTTATTGTGTACTGAAAAAACTGAGCCAAAAATTCGACCCTGTCGAACTCCTTAAGGGCACCGCGTATAGACAAAAAGAAGAACTACTCTTGGACGAATCTTTACAACCCAAACCACCCAGAAAAAATATATAGATGCGATCATTAAGGTCTCATTAGAACTCCTCCGATCCTGAGAGGCCTTTAGCGCCCCATTGATCCTGAAAGGCCTTCAGTCGCTCAGTCTTTATCCGATAGAAAGTCTTATTTTCATAATACTGAGGTGACAGATATTGGTCGGTAGTTGGCCGCGTCTGAGTGATCCCCTTTTTTGAGCACCGGTAGCACGTTGCTCCGGCACATGTTCCAAAGAATACGAGAGTGGGCGTGAGTATAGGAGATAACTCCGCTACACATTTTTTAAGTACCTGCTATTCGGCACGAACCTCACACCTGATTTTAATATCAGGCATCGTTGTGCCAAAATGAGGTAAGGTGCATTACAATCATCGATTCGGGAGTTAGCCGGAAAAAGTTTTGGCAGTAAATCGTGTTTCTCCTGCCGCTTATGAGCTAGTGTCCCGTCTGGACATCTCAGAGGTGGCAGCGAGGAATAGCAGAAGTTGTTATGTTGGTCTTGGCGAATCACCTCTAACTACGGGAGCCCGTAGGAAGAGTTATGAGTTCGTGGCCAATACGTGCAACGCCCTGGGCATCCGCTCTGATATACGCCTTCTTAGGCTTTGAAAGCAATATTGTAGTGTAGACAGCTTATAGTGATTCCACCTTGGGATCCTTAAGGATACAACCCCTCCAGTCCAAGTATACTTACGCGCTTTAGCACAGTCGCGATGGAATCAGAGGTTAATTACTGATGAGATTAAAATGTAGAATATAGTATTCCATACCCATTCCAACCTCCTCAGTAATAGTAACGGCGTGATAGGTCCCTGTTACTGAAGCAACACTGCTTCCAAGGGTCGGACGTAAAGTAGTCACGCATACCGTCACAAGCCGCCGACCCATAGTGCCAGATCCGGCCTCTGAACTCCGCTAGACGCGGAGGCTTGGCCAGTGGCGCTTAGCATATATTAAGCAATGTTCCGACGAGCATAGCTCTTACCACAACCTGATCGTCCTGTGGATGAGTCGTTAAAAGGAGGTCCAGTAAAGATGGTGCTTGATTTGGAATATCTGGAATCCTGGAACCTGGAATCCGCATATAACATTCACGACAAACCGTGATTTTTGAGAACAAAATGTTTTTACAATTTTACATATGAAAAGTGTTGCCGATGCATTTGTTATTTGATTTTCATCTATTTGTGTTCATTAAAAAAGCATCGGAGGCATTGTTTTACCTTTATTACACAGAATATAAGCAATATTGTTATATTGAGTGCAAATGCAGCGTGTTTGAATGTCCAATTGTGCCTAATGCGAATTGGAGTCATGCACCACAATAAGCGGATCACTTTTGAGTCGCGTTTGAGTTTTAATCTACGGTTTTACTTATCCTTTTGATTTGGCAAGAACTGTGAATATCACTTTACTTTAATCTTATAAACACCTAATAATAATTTATCACTCATATAGTCGACACACACACATTAAAACTTATTAACCAGCGTTTGTTAAAGTTGTCTAAAAACAGCACAATTTCTTTTGGATTCTTCTACCGCAAGTACTTTATTTATTTCATTGCTTATTTAATTTCATACCTTTTTTATAGACGTTCAATAATATTATATTTTCAACAGAAATAAGAGAGGTAGGGCACAGCGTACTCTCCGCTTGAATTGGAGCGCCCGTCTGGAGAAGTAACCTCCACCTTACAGAAGACCACAGAGAAATGACACTTTTTGCTGGTGTTGTGTTTCTGTCTGTCTGTCGGTGAGTAAGGTTCCAGGGCTCCAAGGGTTGGGTCAGGGCAGGCAGGTGATATCGCAAGTGTCTTTAGGCAATAGTGTTTACAATCGCAAGCCATATACTCGTTAACCACGCTTTTAACTTGAATATAATCAGTTATTTTAAATATGCTGTATTGTTTTCTACCTTCATAAAAAATAAAAATGTCGTTAACTGAGTTTCTTTCGAGCGAATAATTTATGAAGTATTTGAATATGCCTCTTGTATTTATTTGCGTAGTATTGATAGTATGAGTTAACATTGATAACTAGTAAAAGTAAGGTCGCGCCTACAAAACCTTTATCGATTCCAAGGCTTGAATTGGAGGCTACCGTGCAAAAGCATGGCAGCCAAGCAAGCAGCACAAAACAAAACATAAAACAATTTAAAATTACAATAAAATTATATATAAAACTAGCAGACCCGACAGACGTTGTCCTGTAAAAAAAACATTGTCCAGCGGACAAAATTGTGAACCTAAACCATTCTCAGATCCCCTTGAACACACACAAAAAATTTCATCAAAATCGGTCCAGTCGTTTAAGAGAAGTTCAGTGACATACACACTCACAGAAGAATTATATATATAAAGATTGCCTTATACGACTCGAACGCCGTGTTATAGTGGCTTAAAACGCCACTCAGTATCGCCAATCAGTATATTTTTGTAAAGGATGCCTTATGCTCCTAATTAGATTAGACTTTTTTTTGCTTACCGTGACAGTCTGTTATTAAGGCAACACCAAATTATTTAAGAAAAGAAATGTATCATTAGTATGTAAGGTGTATGTTCTTGTTGGTTATCCAAATAAATAAAATAAAATAGAATAAACTAACCAGGCGGGTTTTAAGCGGCCTACCACCAGTGGAGCGGATGGAAGCTCCGAGTTCCCTTAGTCGCTTCTTACGACACATCGGGGAATAAAAGGGCCAGTTTCACAACGGTGTGGTGGTCGGTGAGAACCATCGATTTTTGTTTGCTGGTCGCGGGTCGGATTACAACGATTCGCGGGCCGGAAATGGCACGCGGACCCTATTTAGCCCATCCCAGACATAAAGAATATTATTATTATATTAAAAAAATTAATACATATCCATTTATTGATGAAATAGAAAAACATCCATATATAAATCGCATATATGTGAAGCTCTTGCTATTCCACCAAAATTGTAAAGAGATGTGCATAGGAAGAACTTGTTCTCATATTCAGAGGTTCATATTTACATCTTTAAAACTGGCATATAATTACATAATTTATGTAATGTTGACGTAAAACTATGTAACATAGTCAGGCAAAAAGACGAGCGAATGAATAAAAGAACTTTAGATTTATCAATTTATTAGCACCAAAATGAAATATTCTTTACATTCTTATTTTAATAATTATTAGTACTTACTCTAAACTGAACAACAATAACAGTAGCAGCAATAAGAATAGCAGCTTTATACATTTCTGGGAACATTTGACTATATCTTGTTACATTAAAATCTTTGATGATAAGACAAGTATTCATCAATAACAATATCACATTTAGTTATCTCCATAATAAATAAGCGGATATTGTAAACAATCGTATGACTGAAAATAAATAAATAATTTATAAGTTTTGTACTGCGAATTCCAGGTGTTTGGATCGGAGAAGAATCTTTGGTAAGCGCTCGCGCCGCCGTGGCGCCGGCGTCGCCGACGATGCGGCCCCCGCCTCACGAATATATCGTCATCAAAATCATCTGAAAACAAACAGAATGCGTTAGAACACTATATGGCTTTCGAATTGTATATGAAATGTTGGTATCAGGGGTGGGTATAGAGCAACACGGAAGAAAGTAGCCATAGTGAAATAATACTACTAAACTCATTCTGAATGAAAATACAGAACATTTTGGCATTTTGATCTCTAATATACACTGGTGCGACTTGACTCAGTCTAGTGAAATATCCGAGTGCAACTAGTTTTGTTACGTGAGTTGGTCTAAAGCAAGCCCAACAGCGGGGGAAAATTGGCAGAGGGGAAAGCTGTGAATGCCTACTCCCCTCCTGGCCGCATTGGCCATGTTGCTCTATGGGGGAGAGTGAGTACTAACCTCTTCCAAAGAGAGAGGATTGGATTTCACCTTGGACTCGAGGGCACGGTACCGCTCTGAAACAGAAAAGCAACAGGTAAAGTGAAGATTAACCGAGGAGCGTTGTCGTATACGTAATTTTTTGTCTATTTATGTTTATCTGGGGTCTATATCTATTTTAATTCACGCCGTGTCTAGGTGGGTTAGGTGGAGAGCACTAAGCGGTACAAGGAACGGTCCGCGGACATATCTTCATTTTCGTTCACGTCTTCGTTCATGCGGGTTTACGTGGATTTGGTGGCGTTTATTTTCAGAATTCGAATTACCTTCATTAGAAGGTGACAGGCATCGATATCGAAATGTAGGGATTATTATTTCAATGGAAATTATTTTTGATGGAGAATCAGCTATCTACGTGCCGAAGACGGGCTAACATCTGGTAATGTTTTTCTAGCTGTTAATAATGGAAAAATCTTACTTTGTCTTAAAAAAGGAAAAAAAAATGTGTGTGTCAGCTCCGACGCACGACTGGAGTTTACTCCTCAAGTTCGATAGTCTAACCGGACGCAAAAAGAGTTTATTCAACTTAAAAATGATCGATACTGTATGAAAGGGTAAATTAACAAATTAACGAAAATAATATACATATATAAATATATATTTATCCATTTCATATACATTTATTATAACCGATCGACTAAATATTTTACATTAAACTTTTTACAATAGTCAATTTCAGACGTGCATAAATATATCATTAGGCATGTTGATAAATTATGTAATCATTATTATCAGATTATTATCATTTTTTTAAATATTAATTAAATCAACATCGTCCGCATTATTAATCACGGCGACAAGCGGTTTATGGTCATCAATGTCGATCCGTCATCTCCGTTCGTCAAAGTTGCGCGACATAGGATGCGAGGTCATTCATCGATAGATTTCACTCCTCACATTTTTCTCATACCGGGCCCCTCATATGTGCAAATCGATTCTCAAGGAGCGAACTCCAACAGCGCGTTCCCCGCGTCGTACCGTGCGCGAGATGCAGCCGCGCCAGCGCCACCAGGAAGGCGTCGGGCGCGAACCGGCCGCGCCACGAGTAGCGCACCACCAGGCACTCCACCACCTTGTTGGAGGCGGCCAGCCCCGCGCCCGCCAGCAGCGCGCGCAGGCGGTGCGCGGGCGGGCCGCGCGCGGCGCCGGCGCAGAGACGCGGCCGCGGGCGCGGGAGGGCGGCGCGCCACGCCCACAGGCGCGCGAGCAGGGCCGGCACCGCGGCGCGCGGCACGCGCCCCGACACGCGCGCGTCCGCCAGCGCCACCAGCGCGCGGCACAGCTCCAGCGACACGCGCGTAGGGCCCACCACCGCGCCGCGCACCGACCGCAACACGCAGCGCAGCGCGCGCGCGTCCAACTACGTGTACGTTGGACATGTTAACTTTATTCGTTTATTTAATTTAGGTAACACACAGTCTTATACGAACGACTTCAGAATGCATGCATACGAATACACCTAAAGTACCGAGCGAGTGAGTTATTCGATTGTCACGAAAGTTTTAGTTTCTATTAAAGGTATGTTTGTCGACGACGTGCCGCATTTAGAATTTGTTGCACCTATGCAATCGTTTAAAACCTCCTATGTTTCACCAGCACCGTACGCACCGCGTTTCGTAAAGTCAGAAGGAAATAGGGCGTTTTTAATGCGATCGATTCGGCTTATCGCAGTCCTCCGCTGGATATGAACCTCTCCCGATTTGCATCACGATCTCCGGTTCGACGCCTTCCGTATCCAGTCTGACGCAGCCGCCTTCATCGAATCGTAAGTCCGTCTAGCTGGGGCGTCATCCTATACCATGCTTGCCAGTACAAGGTCTCCACTCGAGGACTCGTCTGCTCCGATGGCCATCGGTCCTTCGGCAAATATGGCCAGCCTCTTGCTGATTCAGTTTACTACTTCTGAAGGCCATGTCGATGACTCCAGCTCTTTTCCGGATAACCTCGTTGCGAATATTATCCATCAAATAAACTGTAAGAAAAGCTCGCTCCATAACTCGCCGAGCGACTTTGAATCTATGGACCGGTCAAACTTTCAGTGTCCACGTCTCGACGCCGTATGTCACGACAGGCTAGACGCACTGATTGAAAATTTAAATTTTAAGCACTGCGGTATAGGCGACGAGAGGACTCGGTGAAGGAATCCTACTGTCGTCGGCTTTTTAGCCGCGGCGCGTACGTTGCTGACAAATGTGTGATCATCTTAAGAGATTTATCATATTCTTTTCAATACTGATTTAATACTACATAATTAACTAATATAACATATCATTACCTCCTCTTCCTTTATTCTTGCTAAAACTTTTGCGATCGCCACCCGCACCTCCGTCTGCGGATCATCACATATTCTGAATAAGCGAATCCGTTAAAGAACAATACAAAATGGAAACAAATAATAAACATACTACCGGCAAAAGTAGAGGGTTCTCCGTGAACTCGGTTGATATGTCTCGAATAATCATATTATCCTCGTTTACTTCCCTGCAAAAAAACCAAAATAATGAAGCCTAGTTATTTCATTTTTTTAGTAAGTTTGAACTTAAGTATTGAATAGGTAGAGGTGCACGTAACGGTACGGTACGGTAGTGTACTCGTAGGTATTAGTATGATGGTGTACGAGCAAGCTACGTACATTTCGCCCGCTCATCATTTTATTAATTGACCTTATTTTATTATTTTCAATAATCGTCAATTACTTACAAGTTAGTTCGCAATTAGCTATCAAGTAAGCCGTGCGCGTACTCATTCATAACAATCATTTTTATATCAACTAGTATTGTTTTAAGTTATTGTTTAGTTACCAAAATATACTTTATTATCAAGTTATCAAGTTTATCATTTTATCAGTATTTTAGTTTCGGTGCATCCCGAACATTGGTCCTTCGCAGCCTACGTGACAGGCGGGACTTGACGCGTTTTGAGTTCGGTGAACTATACTCGTGTCACTCGTTTCGCAACGTGACGTGTTGAACTAAGTGCAAGTGCATACGTGTACCAATAACTGTGCGTATTGCTATCGATAGTCCTAACTACTGAGCCTATCGTCATCAAGAGTGAGCTTCAAGTTTGTGGTGGTCATCATCAAGGATCACCAAGTAACAAGGCAGTCCGATTGCTTTGAGACAACAAGGTCTCAAGTCGGTCCAAGCAAGGGTGGAGTCGCACGCAGTCAAGGGCAAGCAGATCATATCAAGTAAGATCAGTCCTTTTATTCTTTAACATGTCCGTAATGGAAAATATTTTGTCCAACCAGCAGCAAATCGCAAAAGCAATTGAGCACGTCCTTACCAATTTTAAAAAGGACGGGGCTGAGAGGAAGACGCCGGAATATTTGCATCGTAGGTTAGACATCCTGGATAACTATTGGACTGAATTCCGTAACAATCATGCAAAGTTATCGGAACTCGGTATGGAGTCCCATAGTTATTTTCTCAGCAATGAGTTTGAACGGGTAAAAGAGAGATACGAATCGATTAGGTCACATATACAGAATTATCAGCCTGTAGCAGCAGATAGGCCAGCAACGCCTGTCCTGAAACCGCCAACGTTCACGGGTAAGTCCAACGAAAGTCAACAGCCTCAACCGTCATCAAGAGGAACGGCAAGTAAAACTGAAGATATGCTGAAAAAACAAAGCAGTAATTTCAAAGCATTCCAGCGCACCATCAGCAACATAGACTTGGCTTCTGTTTCGGAAAAGTGGGAGTTCGATGACATATTACGAACCTTGCAAGCCCGCTGGGCGGCTATAGACTCCCTACATTGGGATTTAGACAGCGAACTTGAAGGCTCCAACAAGGAGTACGAAGATGCATTTTCGAGTTATGAGAAAACATATCATAACACCAAGAAGTTAATAAACAAAAAGATGTGGTCAGTGGCACACATGGAAAAGGCTACTCCACAGATGGAAATTCCGACATTCCATGGTAACTATAACAACTGGGTTTCGTTCAAAGATCCATTTACTGAAATTATTCACAATAACCCATCTATGACGAATGCCCAGAAAATGCAATACTTGAAAACAAAGGTAAAAGGAGAAGCTGAGAGATTGATTCAGCATCTCCATGTTAGTTCTGAGAACTATCAAACCTGCTGGCAGATACTCAATCAGCGGTACAACAATAAAAAGCTCATATTTTCGACACATATAAATATTTTACTTAATCTTCCGGTTACGCAACAGCAATCGCTCAACAATATCAAGAGGTTACACGACACCACAATCGAATGTCTAAATGCTATCAAGAATTTAGGCGTCGACACTAGTACTTGGGATCCGTTGATTGTGCACATTTTATCTCAAAAACTGGATATTGATTCTTATACAGACTATATCGAATCTGTTAAACAGCCAAGAGAGTTACCAATACTGAAAGAATTTCTAGATTTCTTAGAAACTAAATTTACGACGCTAGAGTCTGCGCGTAGAAAACAGGATAACACGCAAAAACTCCAGCCCATTTCTAAACAATCGACCAATACAAATAATTATAATACCAAGGAAAACCATAACAGTAATGTTCAAAGATCGAGTTACAACAAAAATTCCTTTTCTTCAAGCACCAAAAACGTGACCAAATCAAAATACAAGTGCCTGCTTTGCAATAGTAACGATCATGGGATTTACTACTGTCAAAAATTTTTAGAAATGCCATCAGTAAACAAGCGTAAATTAGTCACAAAGTTCAATCTCTGCCCAAATTGCCTATTCAACCACTATGGAAAATCATGTTTATCAGAAAGACGTTGTCGTGAGTGCAATAAGGACCACAATAGCTTATTACACGAAGCGTTTACGCAATCAGGTGTAACGACGATGCAGACCGCGGCCGCGGAAATGGGCGCGGGGAGCTCGACGAACATGAGTGCAAATTCAGGCAAATTAGTAAAAAGTAGCTCACATGTAAACTTACAAAGTGATGCAATCGAAGTATTGTTACCAACGGCCATAATCAAGGTACAAGGTTCGGATGGTACGTTCCACACTCTACGCGTTTTGCTAGATCAAGGTTCACAAACATCTTTGATCACGGAACACGCGGCCCAATTATTGAGAATACAAAGGCAAAGATGCAAGGGAATTGTAACAGGAGTAGGTGACAAAGAGAGCAATTGTAAAGGGATGATAAGTATAAAATGCGCCTCGATCACAAATGATTTCACTTTTGAAACAGAAGTGCTAATTATGAAAAATCTTGTTAAAAATCTTCCCAGCAGTACATTTTCAAAACCGGACTGGCCGTATTTAGATCATGTGAAATTAGCAGACCCGGAATTTTATATTAGTCGTCCCGTAGATATTTTATTAGGAGCTGACGTTTATTCCATCATACTTTTAGACGGAATATGCAGAGTGAATTCAACCCTGCCGACAGCGCAACAAACGCAGTTAGGCTGGATTTTGAGCGGAAATGTAAAGACATTCCAGTGTAATGTTGTTTTACATGACCTAAATGACATACAGCATTTTTGGGAATTAGAAGACATTACGGAACCATCAAATCTATCAAGTGAAGATCTGCAGTGCATGGAATATTATCGGGCTACCACCAAGCGACAAGAAGATGGTCGATATGAAGTTCGTCTACCGCTAAAGCCGGGCTATCAAGAAAGCCTGGGATCTTCAAAATTAAAAGCAATAGCTCAATTTCACTCATTAGAAAAAAAGATAAACAAAGATACCTACATTAAAAATGAATATAAATTATTTATTAACGAGTACCTATCGCTCGGACACATGACGCCGGCAGTCGACGACGGTAACCTGAAACTCGAGTGTTATTTACCGCATCATTGTGTCACGCGACAAGAATCGACGACGACAAAATTCCGTGTAGTATTCAATGCCTCATCATCAACATCAAACGGGTCCAGCTTGAATGACGTCATGTATAGGGGCCCAAACTTACAACAAGATATCCAGAGTCTCATTATCAAGTGGAGACAATACCGTTACGCATTCACTGCAGACATCGAAAAAATGTTCCGCCAAATTTGGTTAAATTCAGAAGATCGAAGGCTTCAAAAAATTGTCTGGCGAGACGATAAGTTCCAACAATTACAATTTTATCAATTAGCTACGGTGACTTATGGCACGAAAGCGGCTCCGTTTCTTGCCATGATGACTCTAAAGCAACAAGCGCAAGATGAGAGAGCGAAGTATCAGAACCGAGTAAATCATTCAAGAACAGAGTCCGCGCCATGCATCCTGGAGGAATGTTTTTACATGGACGACCTCGTTCACGGATCACATTCTCTGTCATCAGCAAAGGAGCTACAAAAAGACATGATCGCACTCTTAAAATCGGGCGGATTCCATCTTAGAAAGTGGAAGTCAAATTCGCCTGAACTATTAAAGGATGTCAACAAGGACAAAGACACTAAAGACGCCTTTGGTTTCAAGCATGAGGAATCAACAAAGGCCTTAGGAATAAGCTGGAAGCCATCCCTCGATACCTTTTCATTTGAACCAAAACTTAATGAGTTATTGTCGCCAACCATCACCAAAAGGGAGCTTTTATCAAATATTTCAAAAATTTTCGATCCGTTAGGTTGGATTTCTCCTATTACAACAAAGTTAAAGATTTTATTTCAATCTACTTGGAAATTAAACCTGCAATGGGATGAGCAGGTACCAAAACAAGTTTATGAAGAGTGGATTAAAATTAAGACTGATATCAAATTTATTAGCGACTTCCATTTACCGAGGTGGTTGGGAACCACTGGCAATAATACTATAGAACTTCACGGTTTTTGCGACGCAAGCACCAAAGCTTACGCTTGCGTGGTATATTGCAAGATAAACAAGAGTTCAACATCAACTGTGTTAGTAGCAGCGAAAGCTAAGCTTGTGCCCTTGAAGAAGGTTACATCTCTACCTCGCCTAGAGTTATGCGGTGCAGTCCTGCTATCAAAATTAATGGCAAAAATCAAGTCTGGCCTCCATAATCAAGAGATCAAAATTTATGGCTGGACCGACTCGACGGCAGTGCTGGGTTGGCTACATGGAAATGCAGACCGCTGGAAGCCGTTTGTAAGCAACCGAGTCAAACAAGTGACATCCATAGTAGCTGCGGAGTGTTGGTCTTACGTCAAATCAAAGGATAATCCGGCAGATTGCGCCAGTCGCGGGCTCACAGCTTCCGCACTGAAAGAACACACTCTTTGGTGGCAAGGGCCTACTTGGTTGCTTACTTACGAGCCACCGAGTGACGTCACGCAATCAAATTACTCCACTGATCAAGAAGTAAGAAATGTAAAGGTAGCAACTGTTACAAAATCAACAGATAATTATGACGTTGTTAACCAACTATTATCTAAATATAGCTCATTGTCGAAAGCTATTCGGATTCTAGGATGGGTCTTAAGATTTATACATAGTCGCAGAGGTATTAATAACAATTACTTATCAGTAAAGGAGTTATATCAGGCGAGAATGTTGATTATCAAGAAAGTTCAACACGAGTCATTTTTAG